TATATATATTAGGCTGATGGGTTGCTTAGGGTTTAATTCCTAATTGTTTTTTATTTTAGTTTGCTGTCCTTATGGTGTTTCTCCCCTCCAAGGGATGTATCTGATGACAAAAAGATGCTCCGGCCGTAACGCGTCCGAGTTGGTGATTATCTTTGCTCGTTACTTCCCATCTGGCTGCCGCCTGCCATTCAGTAGCTGTCTTGCTGCTGTTTGCCGCAACCAGTAGCTGTCTTGCAACTGTTTGCCGCAACCAGTAGCTGTCCTGCTACAGTTCACTGCCTCTAGTGGCTGTCCTGCTGTTGTTCGCCGCCTCCAGTTGCTATCCTGCTGCTGCCAGCCGCTCCAGTTTTTTCCTGTTGTTGTTAGCCATCTCCTACAGTTGTCCTGCTGCTGTTCGCCGCCTCTAATGGCTGTCCTACTGCCGCCAGCCACTCCAACTTCTTCCTGTTGCTGTTCAACTGTCCTGCTGCTGTTCGTGGCCTCCAATAGCTGTCCTGCTGCTGCCAACCGCCTCCAACATTTTCTAGCAGGTCGACCCTCCTCCAGCTCCCTTCCGGTCGGCCGCCATCCCTTCTACACCTGCCAGCCAACCGCCAACACCTGCTGCTCCCTTCCTACTCCACAGCCATCTGCTGCCAGCCACCTGCCAGCAGGCCAATCCCACTCTTACTCTCTCCAGCACCACAACCATCTACTGCCAACCATCTTCCAGCGCTGTCGCTACTCCCTTCTCTTCCAGGAGCTGCCACTCTCCTCTAGAGAGCCGTTTATATGTTTTTGTACTATTTTATTCTTATTTTGAGGAGTCGTTGTCACTTGACCGTTTGAATGCTTTATGTTTATGTTGAGTACTCGTCACTATAACTTTTGGATTCATTATTAAATATCTTTCGTTTATCTTATGTTGAGTAGTCGTCACTGTAACTCCCATATCACAAACATTCGCCATCAGATTCACAATATGAACGTGCACAAACATAATGAAGTCTTTAAAAACTTTAAAAAATGTAATATTCCCCTCATCTTAATGGCTATAAATAAGTAATTATGAATAACAAAATCACGGTTTAAAATTGTGAAATATGAGGCTTGCTTTGAGGCTCGCTTAAAAGAATTTTTGAAAAAGTTGCAATGTGGCTTATGCCTCATTGAATATTGCATGAGGCATATGTCTCACATAGTATGAAGCTCGCCCTAATGCGCCTTGCCTTATTATGAGACGTGCACAATTAGTTCTAGGATTTTTTTAAGAATAAATTTGAGCAAAATAACACTTATAAACGTTCTTTGCTTATATAATATCATACAATTGAGGATGTAATTAAGCTATTACAATCAACATTGTCATTATTTAAAATGTAATAATATAGTTATTAATTAAATAAGAAGCAGATTGATATTTTAGATGAGTAGGAGGATTTTAAGAACACAGATATAATTGAGAATAAAATGAGGGAGAAAGCAAATGATTATGCTGAATATCCCAATGAAGGCTCATTAAGTGATATGATTGATAGAAATTTTCGAATTTTAAAATTTTTACCTTACGGAGATCTTATTTTTATGAAGTATAGTAGGAGTGAGAGATCTAGTACTTTCTTTAAAATAAATATAAGTAAAATAATACTTACAAACATCCCTTGCTTACTGATATAATATACAAATGAGGATGTAATTAAGCTGTTAACATCAACATTGTCATTATTTTAAAATCTAATAGATAGCAATTATAATTAAATAAGAAGATGATTGTTCTTTTAGATGATAAGAAGGATTGAGAGAACATTGATATAATTGAGGATAAAAAGCGGGAGAAAACAATTTATTTTCTGATGATCCCAATGAAGGCTCATCAAGTGATAAGATTGATAGAAACTTTTAAATTTTAAAATTATTACCTTTCTGCCTTGTTATGTTCTTATTTTTATGAAGGATAGTAGTAGCGAGAGACTATTTGTATCAAACTTTTTAATATTGTCATGTTATTATATCTTATTCTAATGTTTGTATAACCATTCGTATTTAATGATTTAATATTTAAATGTTAATATTATTTTTTTACTTTAAATAATTTATTATTTTTTCTATATTAGGTCATTAATATATTACATGTTAGTGTATTCATAAGCTATAATATTAATTTGTTATCTCTTATTTCATATTTTGAACTCAGTGCAATATTTTCTTTTGTGCAAATGGTTATTTTTTAGGCTTACACCTCAAAATGCCTCTAAACTTGCGCCTCAAAATGCACCGAACTTTACGCCTCGATAAACGAATAAAAACACTTTAGAACCCAATTGCATAACTTTAAATATTGATTGAAATACTGATATTCTAAGTCATGCACAAACAACATGAGGCAATTCTCAAGTTCAATAACACTACCTTGAAAATGTTCAAATACATCATGTGCATGCAACGAAAATCATTCAAGTGCATCATGCAAATGCATAAAAAATTGGGAAATTTACATACATACCACTCAATTTCTTTGTATTTACATTTCTAACACCTAAAGTTTAATATTTACATTTATAATACTTTGAACTTATGCATGAGAAGGTGTACTTTACTTTTAAAATGTTAATGGTAGTGGTATTTTTGACGTGATATTAAAGATTTAGAGTGTACAGTATGTAAATATGAAAGTTTAGGTGTTTGTATAGAATTACATAAGATTTTTATGGTATGCATTTAAATGCCCTTAAAATATTATGTAAGTGCTTTTGTAAGGTATGCAAGTCCGTCATGTAAGTGCTTTGAAAAGTGTGCACATCATTTAAGAGATGTATTAATTTGCCAAAATTCAACTAATCTACACGTGCTTCGATAAATTTACTAAATACTCAAATGTTTTGTTTTGAGAAAATTTAACAAACTAAAAAAAAGGATGAAAGATTATTTCATATTTACTCTTCATTGAGAAACGTGCATCTATTGAAAAAGTTTGAACTTTTAAACTCTCTTTTAAATTTAGAAAGTGTGCAACTCTGACTAGTTGTCACGCTATATGTACGGCATCCTACTTATAAGGTATGGTCATATGTTTTATAAAGCAAGTTGGACCGTCCTCCCTACAAATATTAGAACTGTCAAGCCAAATACATTTTTTTGATAATATTCTGGCAATAAATTTCAACGACCTTGCAAAGGAAAAATGATTTGATTTGAAATAAGATTCACAACAGTTACACAAAAAAATAGGATGCGATTTTTAAAAATATAAATGTAGTACAATTTGTCGCCCAAGGGACCACTTTTGGATTTTATATAATTAAGTGACAAAATTTGAGAAATGGCATACTCTTGTGTTAAATTGGCCATACCAGTAGTCGGGGGACTTCTTTGCTTTTTATTTCAATTATACATGGGCTCATCATTTTCTTACTATCTGAACAATGTGTGCGCATTATAATGGTAATATACTATCATGCGTGAATATGATTAGATTTTTTTTATTGTTGGCTAGGTACTTGTTTTGTTGGTTTTAATGAAGGTTTGCTGCATTTTTTAAATAAAGAAAAAGAAGGGTTGGGTCTTTTGATTAATTTCTTAGCCAGTTTGGTATCATTTAACTTGATAAAGGCAATTATTCACATACTGATATTAATGAAAACATTGTGTATTCCTTTGAGATTTGGTTTGGCCTGTTGCATACGACTTAGAAATTGACTGCATAATGATTTTCATCATTGGGTCATCCGAGATTGGATCTTAGTTATGTAGTTTTTGTTCTGCCTATAGAATTATTGGTTTTTTATTTGCGTCAACCAACGATTCAAAATTCTGAGGTTATTTATAATATAAGAAGAGAAGCTTTGATGGCTATGAATACAAATACCTTTTCAAATAGTTTAAAGATCCTGATATAAGAATGAGCCATCAATTCTTTTTACAAGTAATTTCATTTTCCTGAGGTGTACGCCATGATTTTTTAGAACGTCTTTGTTTTTGGTCATCTATTGGGTTTCCCTTAGAGCGCTGCTAGAAGAGTTTAGTTACAGGGAAAGTTTTATTACTATAATATTTGGTTAAACTTCACCTTATCAAATCCTAATGTTATATTTAACCTATATCACCATGTATCGGTGATATCTTTTATGCTTCACTTATACTGAAATAAATATTGCATTATTTAATTTTCACTTAATTTTCACGGTTCTATTCAACTTTCTTTAAACAATTTTATGTTTGATTTGCACTTATATGAGTTTATATTTTTGACCAGTTGATACATCTCAAGTATCATATCTCTGATGAAGAACTTCAAAACTATGCTGCACGTGCTATTGACATGCTTCAAGAAAATGCTTCTGCAGATGCTCAAGCAACGGTATCATTTCTATAAAAACCTTTTTTTTTTCTCCCATAAGTGAATGTAATTATTTCATTGTTTAAGTTACATCCTACTAACATTCTTGCAATGCAATCAATAGTTAGCATTGATAGTGCCGTCATAAAGTTCTTTCTATTTAAACTTGATTTGCTTCAGCTTTTAGAAGTTTAAAAAATTCAGGTCTTCTGAAAACGATGCAAATGCTATTAGGGCTTGTATAAGAAAAAAAAAACTGCTTGACGAAGTTGGTGACGATGCATTTGCATTTTATTCATTTTGTCCGTTTCATAATTAAATTGAGAGTAGAACTTTTGTTTTTTTTATCCTTTTTCTCAGAATAGAAAATTCATTAACCATTCTTTGCTTTGAAGGCTTGTGTTTTGTATATTCTGCGAGTCGGTGCAACTGACCAAATGACAGAGGCTGCACAGAAGAGTTTTTTAGTTCATTTGGCTAGAAAGGTCTGTTTATAAGTTAGTAGATATCGTTTATATGCCTAGTTAATTGTTTCTACTGTTGACATTACTTAGATTAGATACTGTTTGTACCTTGCAGCTCAAGTCTGCAGACTTCTGTCAATCAGCTGGGGTCGCCATATTTCGAATCCTCTCATACCTTTTAACAGCTTTGGGAGAGGTATCTAAAATCTTCTTTTCTAAGGCTCACATGAAAAAGTAAATATGTTGATATTATGAAATTTTGTAAAACCTTGATTTTCATTCAAGCTTTCATCCTAATATAGTGCTAAAAATCAGGTTATCTAATATTGTGTCCATTCTCATTATATCAAAGAGAGTAAGGACTAATAATAACGATAGGGGCTTCTTCATTGTTGTGTATTGATGTCCAGTCTCTGTTGTAGACTGCTGAAATTGGGAATTCATATGTTGAAGATTATCTTAACAAAAGTTGCTGGTAATGTATATTGTGAGTTGCCTCATTTGGTTGTAATTAATCTAAAAACTTTTTAGAGAGCATCCTTGTTTTTGTATGCTCTGATTTTTTTTTTTTTTTTTTATTCATTTGACAATTGACTTTAAGTGGAGGTGGTGCCATAAAATGTCTTCATGCTGTTTCATTAAGAAAGCATTAAAGGATTGTGTTAAAACTGACGTTTCCATCAAGTTCAAAATGAAGGGAATTACTTACTATACCATGGAATAAATCTGAATGACAGAAGTTTGGCTTAGCTTCGCAGAAAATGCATTTAGAGATTTACAGTCTAATGAGACACCTATTGACATTGGAGAATGATTGTAGTAGATAGGTTTTCATTGAAATCCTAGTGACCGAGGGATGCAAAATGTTGAATAAAAAGGGTTTTTTTGCACAAATGTTTGATTATAAAAGGGGCAGTTAGAATTTTGTAACGGAAATTGAGCTTTTATATTTTAATATACGCAACAGGAGAGATTGATGGAACTATGCTAGGTGAAATATTTTAGTGGCAAAAAGTGTAAAATTATATTAGCTTAGATACAAAAGACGATAAAATCTTAGAGTAAATTAATTCCAATGGTAGCTAAATCCATAACTTTCTCATTTTTTAAGATTTAACATATATTTATATATATCAAAATGATTTTTGAGAAAAATTAAATTTTTTGGTAACATTATTTAACATATTTTACACTTTGACCTTATAAAAAATTAGGTATTGCACAACTATCCTTATGCCCGAGGAAAAAAATTTTTGCTAGTCTTATAATATTTAGGTTTAAAATTAGCTTTTGGATGTTTGACAAGATGTTGGATTGTACTTCAAAAATATCATTAGTATCAAAAATTGAAGAAGCTGAATTTCAAGATACAAAAGACCAGGATGGCCGAAACTACAATGTCATGATATAATCTCATTTGTACTTTTGAGAGAAGACATTTTCCATTGATTGTATGGGCATGACTATTGTCTTTGTAATTTCATCAGAATAATAGTGTTTTAACCTAAGTAGTACTACTAATTCTCTTCCTTTATCTCTGTTCCTGAAGTCTACAAAGAGTTGATAACAATTTGATTTTTTGGCCATAATTGTTTGCTATTTTTCTTAAATAAAAGAGATTGTAGGAGAAGTTTTGAAGATGTAAAATAGAGTTTAGCAAACTTTCAGTTAATTCTAATGATCCCTGTCCAAGCAATTGAGGATTGAGAACATCAATTTTTGATTTAGTTTTTTTGGAGATGGAGTATAAGAGGTCCAATTGCCTTTTTGCTCAGGGAAAATTTACTCAAGTTTTCTTTCTCCTTTTCTTTATTGCTTTTCTTTTGATAAGCATGGGTGTCTTTGTGTTGATTCTCAAAGTTTCTCTGAATTGTTGACTTGGCATGAAGTTTCCAACAATTTTCCGATAAGGAATTTAATTTTTATTAACATAGAACCAAAGATTGCTTTTATTTTCCATGCCTCAGTGTCATACCATGGATTTTGCTTCATACATTTGATTGCAAGGGCAGATTGTGTTGTTATGAGATTATTCATGGTACCTCCAAGCACAATTCTCTATGTGCTTTCTTCTTTTTGAACTTTAGAAAATGCTTACTCATTTTACGAAGTGAACAAATCTGAAGGATTCTTCTACAAACTTCATCAAGCTCTTCATTGAGATCTACGGAAATTCATATGTTATGGTTTTCCCCTTTAGTATGATCTATGTATTTACACATTCATCACGCTAATTATTTGATTTAAAGATATATTGTTCTTGCCAAATTTTTTATGTGAGTGTGGTTAAATATTTCTTCAGACTCATTCTTTCTTGTTTGAGGTCATAATCATGATCATGGTCTTCTAATTCACTCTATTGACTGGAATGTCGTGTGCCATATTTTGCCCGGTACGTGCGCCAATTGCCGCGATTTGCCCAAAACCGGTTTAGTCTAGGCACAGGATGGACCGACCAGTCCTTCCAAGCATGGGTTTCCTTCTTATCTGAAGTCGGGCCCACTTTTTTTTATCCTAGGTCTATATATATGTTATTTGTTGTGTTTTAGGAGTTTTTGGTTCAGTATCCGAAATTGATTAAGTGCTCCGCTGTAACTCGTCTTAAGGTGGTGTTCATCCACCCTTCCTCACACTCCCAGTCTTCGCCACAACCATTCAGCCTGCTGCTGCCCCTTCCCAGCCTTCCTCACAGCCGCCCCTTCCCCGCCTTGCTCACAGCTGCTCAACCCACTGCCACCTTTGCCATCGTTCATCACCGCCACCCAATTTGCTGCCATCCCTTTCCAGCCTTTCTTCCAGCTTCCTTGCTGCTGTCCAATTGCATGCCAACCTTACTCTGGTTAAATCTCCAACACCCAACCACCCAATCGCTCATACCTTGTTGTCACCCTCAACCTGCAGTCCCAACGCTTCTAGTGTATTCGTGTTGCGTTTCTTTGTTATTTCCTATTTCAGTTTTTTGTTTGTAATTGTATATTTGAATTTCAACAATAATATTATTATTGCATTGTTGTTTGGGTTAACTTCTGGATCATGGAATTTTGAAAGTCAAGGCACACCATGTTGAGGTTCTTCTAATTTGCTTGCACAGTGTTGTGGACAGAGTCTAGAGATTTAATATGTTCTTTTGTTGAATTGATTAGCCAGGGTATTTCCAATTCATTATTGCTGCCCCCTGATGGAAAAAAGGAGGTTCACCTGCCTCGGTTTGATGTACCATTTTGGTATCCTATCTTAGATCTTTCTCAAATTATGAAACAGATTAAGCGAGACAATTAAAACTCGTTCTTCTCATTTATTTTGTAGGAAGTAATTTGTATAAAGACTCTTGGAATGAAGTTATGGCTAGGTATGGTGGCAGGAGGACACATCTCTTCTTATTTAATAGGCCCAACCAGGGCCATTTTGTAATTTTATACCATAATTTAGATATAACCTAGCTTTGATACCATATAAAAAGAAGTAGATAAAAAAATAGGGGAGAGAAACCGTGGTGTACTCAGTGGTGTTTATGTGGCTAACTACGGTTCTATTTATACGGTTTTATAGTTGGTAAAAAATAAAAATAAATAAATGCAGAAGTAACATAAAAACAAATGCAAACGCTTCCTACTGTAGCTCCCCAAACTAGCCAGCTACAAGTGGTCAATCTTGGGGAGATTAAGGTAGTCATGTTAGTGCGAGAGCTGCAGCCAAGGAAAACACACTGCAATTACAATCTTCTCGCCTAATTTGGTTCCCTGCCAGTGCTCCAGACATTAATTGCCATGGAAATTTCTCTGCCTATAATGTTGATTTAAGATGGAAAACCCTTGTTTTCTATATATATATTTTAATCAACGATGTATTGGAATGCAGATCTAGACGATAATATAATTAGCTTAATAAATGTTCAATGCTTTAAATGAGTAGTGACTTGGGAGTACTGTATGATAAGTGAATGTTATGTGGAATTGAAAGGAATTTTATCAAATGACACTCAGAGCAACTATACTCAGTGGATTTAAATGCCGGCTGTTGAAGAAAGCACTAAATCGGAAAGGATAATGAGAAATGATAGTATTTTATAGTGTACCATATTATGATTTTTTGATAAGGTTATAAAAGTCGAAGACTTTGATGGCCATATCCATATAAAGAAAAGCAAAATGAAGTTAAAAGGAGGGAAAATATAATGCAAAGTAAATGTTGAAGGAAAGGAGAAGGCTAGAGCTATTGTGTCCGAAATTCTGTATGCATAAGGTTCTTAAAATACACAAAACATTCTTTTGGTAAAGGTATAAGGATTCAAATAGCTGGCAAAAGATGTTCTGCATTTATCATCTTATTTGAGAATTGGAATGAGATAAATGAACATCGTAAATTTTACTAGAGGTAATGCGGCCAGAGTTTATGTAGAAGGATTTATCAATACCATCTTTAATATGATACATGCAAAATATTGGAGGAAAGAATGAAAACAATATATAGCTGATAAAAAATGGTTTGAATGAGGTTAGAGACGATATGAATCATGCCCAAGGTTTTTTCTAAATTGCAGGGGTTGAAAATAATAATTCGGTATTTGCAGTTTTTCTTTTCTGTAGAAGTTTTGCTATATGCACAGTCATTTCTTCTACATAACTAAGAAAGTTCCTTGGTTACTTTGTACAGGTTCCAGGTGAATTTAAAGACATTATTGATGACACAGTTGTTGCAGCTCTGTCTCATTCTTCAGTACATGTAATGCCTTGTCCTAAATTGTTATTTTAGTACATCTGATATCTTCAATGTCATTATTATTTCAACCATTGGCAACTTACTGTTCAATTTTGTGATACTAATTACTTAATGTGATCATATGTAATCTTGGCAAACATTCAATGGCGAGCCTTTATAATTTTACTTGTGTCAAATTTCTATCTACTATGAAATTTTGGTCGATCCTTTACTTGTGGTCTCCTTGCATCCACTTATGACTGGTTTAACATAAGGTTGATGTTGTAGGATTGTCATTAGTACAAACTATTTTTTCTGTTTTTAATCGGAGAGCTCTTTTTTGAATTTTGTATGAAGTTTTCTGCCATTATTTTTTATCTTTATTAAATTATGGTTGCATGGCTGAGAAGCTGGATGTTTTTTATTTCTATACTAAAAGTAAAAGGCGTAATTGGTAATTATGTTCTTCACGTTCTGTCTATGCTTGTAATTAACTGTTAGGCTATAGTTATTTGACTTCTTTATTTTGTAGGGATTACTGTTAATTATTGCCTTTTCTGAATCATTTCTTAACTTGAAAGTTTTGTGACAAAGTAAAGCTTCAAAATAAATAGTTGCAAAATTGAAGGTAGAATTCCAATTTTGGGATTGCTGAAATTAACTCAGATTTTCTTGTAAATGGACTGTAACTGAATGGGATGTTATCTATGCTGCCGAGACTGTTGGACTAGATTAGATCATAAGACCATGTATTAATGGAGGGAGAGACTGGTGGATGTTTGTGAAATTTAGGAAGAAGAGAACTAAGAAGTGTGGCTTGGGATTATACTGTCATTAATCTGCTTTAGGGCTGTGAGCATTGAGGCAGGAACAAACAACAGTGATGAAAGTGGGTGAACTGCTCAATCTACTGTTACCAAAATTTACATACCGAACATCAAAATGATCACATGTGGATATTTCAAGACTATTAACATACATCACATTGCATGCATGTCATAAAACAATTTATAGTAATCTATAATCATTTAAGACATCATCTAAAATCTAAAAGAGCCAATAAAGCTAACATTTTTACTCAAGATTATTCATATGAAACATCCGTATGTATTGTCATATGGCTCTCAATGCATTATTCATCCAGCTAAACTTTGTTATTCTATGAAACTGAAGGTAAGCGTTTAAAATTGCACTTCATATTTATCATAGTTACACATGGAGAAAACCTTATTTCTACAAGTTGTGAATAATGTATGCTGTTTTTTCATTAACTACAAACTCTGTAATTTTCAGTTTTGATTGTGTTCTGTTCATATCAAATAGCATGTATCTTGAGAAAAATTATCATATATGTGACAATGATAAATTTCTGATGTTTTTGCTGTACCATATATTGATTTGGATTTATTTTTATTGTTATTCTTTAATTTGTTTTACCTGAGACCATTTTTCAAAAGGTTCTGTAATCTTTGAAGTTTTCCGTCTCTGATGCTTATGTATAAGTTTACTGCATAGGTACGCATAGAAGCAGCTTTGACATTGCGTGCATTGGCTGAGGTTGATCCTACTTCTGTTGGTGGTCTTATTTCTTATGGTGTGACTACATTGTATGCTTTGAGAGAAAGTGCTGCTAATAGAAAGGTAATACATTAGCTTGTTTCAATGTAGTCATGGATTTACCTTTCATTATGATACTCACAATTCCATGCATTAATAAAAAGGGGAACCAGTTAAATCATGAGTTGTTCTCCTTGCATGGCCAAGCAGCTTTTATAGCTGCGCTTATTTCCATATCACCAAAGCTGCCACTTGGTTATCCTTCCAGGTAAACTTGTCTGCCGCTTCTTTATTCTTATTAAATTTGAAGTATGGTTCCAAGCATAGCAATGATGAAACTTTGATGACTCAATTTTCCAATTTGTGTGCCTATCATATGTTATTTAAGAAGCAAAAATCTCCATTTGCTGCAAAATGTTTTATGAATTCAAATTCTTAAGCGGAAGCTAAAGCCTTTACTCGTGTTAAAAATCACCCCCAATTTACTGGTAAGAACACTTGAATCTGTAACATTTGTACAGTAGGTTTTTCTACTAGTTGAGATTTATTGTCTGTGTGGCAATCATCGTGGAAAAGGTTGTTGGATTCTTTTGTCTTTATCAGTGTGGACCTAAATTTTTTATATGTTTCCTCCGTTTATAATGTGTAGTAAAGTCGCCAATAATAAGGATAAAAATTATGAGCTGATTTTTTTGTTTTGAACCTTATTAACTTTGCTTGCTTGTTACAGAGGATTTGGATTCATTGTTTAATATGCACTATTTGACTGCACATGTACTTTCATTGTGCTCCTGATTTTGTAGACTCTACTCCCACGCATAGAAGATCAAGTATAAAAGTTTACAACTTACTACTTGTCTAGCTGAGGTGGCCCTAAGAATTTTTTTTATTGATTTTTTCTTATAATAGGTTTTGAAAGACTTAATGCAAATATAAAATTAACTAATTTTGGTGAGATTTCAATGAAATTTGGTTCCCTTTGTGCAATAATGTGAGATTGTTTAATTAAATTAGGAGAAGCATTTATGATTAGTTTCTATTTAATTTGGTTTCTTTTTAGGACATCTATCCTATCGACTCCAGTGCATGACACGTCGAGGATTGACTTGAGGACTCGTAGTGCTGATCTGGTTGACTCCAATTTGGACATTTGAATGATTGGATCTAACATTTGGGATTTGTAGCGATGCCCTACCAACAGCGTTAGCCCATTTATGTTTTTCTTTAAACCTATATAATATTTGAGACATTATTAGGGGTGAACATTCAGTCTATTTGGATGGTTTAGTTTTCAAATTTGTCAAACCAATTATAACAAAAAATCTAGAATCTGAAAAGCCAAACCGATCAAAATTTTGATAAAACTATACTGACCGAATCAAAATTTAATTTGGTTTAAACAATTTAGTTATGAACAAACCAAAATTTAGTTAGTTCGAGATTAATTATGAGCATACATAAATAAGATCGATTTAATTTTCTGAATCTTCCATATGGTCTCGAATTTTTGATTTTTTGGTTAGATGAAAATACTGAGCCAATAATATGAAACTGACTTTGAGGGTTTAATAATTAAAAATCAAAATGTATTTTTGAGACCGAAGTGAATCAACCAAATTTTTTATGCGCGGTTCAATTTTTTGGTTTTGACCAAATGATGCACACCCCTAGACATTATTGATTTTCAGGTTTGTTGACTTTGCATTTTTGCGGAAGATTGCCTTCGAAGTTTGAGAATTACAACTGTACCTTATAAGCATGGTGTCCTGTTCAAACGCAAGTTTGCCTTTTGGGTTTGAGTTTGAGATTTCATTTGCAGGTGTTAAAATTTGTTTGCATTTTTTAGAGTGTTGCATGGTTCTCGGAGCGACATGATTTGAATATGCATTTTTTTGAGGAGCGCAAAGTGTTGTGAAGTTATTTTGATTTGGATACTGTCATTTTTTTTAAATGTAAATGAGAGCAATTGTGCTAAGTTTAGAAGAGTTGCATTATTTTGGAGCATTTTCACAACTTGCGAGACACTACAATTTGAATTAATATTTTCCTCTTGATGTATATGGTTGATTTTTATTTGTCAAAATTTAGCCTTTTAAACTTTTGTTGATGAATGCATCATTGAGTTGCTTGTACAACTTTTCATTTAGAGCTTTAGTGATCTCATTTTGTCTGCTTGCCCATCTTTCAGAATTTTGTGTTGTGCTCATAGTAACTTTATTTATTTTTTGCCTGCAATCTGTACTTTGTCATTTGACATTGAATCTTTAGGTCATAGTACTAATAGTTTTGACTGTTATGTGAGAAGGCTTGAGCATTGTCATATGTGAGTTGTTATGAGTCCTCTATAAATCTAAGTTTGTGTTCTGTACTGTTCCTTTCTACACATGTATTTCATTTGTTATCTTTGTGCTTTTTTTTGTTTTTTCTCTCCTTATCTTTCAACTTGTTGCATTGTTTTGCTGAGAAGTTTATTTGATTTTGTTCAGTTTATGTTTATTTAGACTAAATTTTGTAGTACTTTTTGCTGTTCTGTAGTGATGAGGCAGAAACTCTCTTTTTTTAAACTTTTTCTATTGTTTATTTATTTTATTTTTAACTCTCTCTCTCTCTCTCTCAGCGACTTCAATTGGCAAGCTTAGTCAAGGAATTAAATTGAGCGCTTTTATAGTTTAGGATTAAATTTGCCTCATATTCATCCAATTAAATTGGTAAAATTTCATTTAAATACCCCCTACAGTTCATGTGTTTAATTCCAAGCCTTTTAAACTTTCTCTACATAATTTTATCACAGCTATCTTTTTGTACGATTTGAGTCATTTAATGTGAAAAGATAGCCCAAAGTAGTCTCATGCATTACATATTTTGATTTTATTACCTAGATTGTACAAAATTGATCTCAAATGGTCCCATAGTGACTAAGTTCAACTTCATATGATCACCTGTTATCTGAGAGTTCGTTTGATATCAATTTTGTATAAGAGGGATTAAATTGGAGAAATGTGAACCTTCTAAATCTAAATTTGCCACTTGTGAATTTTTGCGGGCCTATTCTGAATTTTCCTCTCTATGAAAAATTTGGTACATTTGTTTGATGATTATAAGATCTCAGAAGTTTTTGAAATAATGCTTGCTACTAGTTTTATTGATATTAATGTGGAGTGAAGATTTTGATATTTACTTATATTTATAATTTCCTGAAAATTCTTTCTGGAGAGTTGTGACTCGCATTTACTTGCTTTTCTTGCTATTTTTTTTGAGTTGCCAAGATGATCAGTTGGTTTGATTCTTTCTACTTTTTTATTTTTGTTTACCATCTTAGTACTGGTAATATTAATTTGTCATTCTTGCATACAACTTTCCAAAAGTTCTATTCCATTTGCCGCTCTTTCCATTCTCTTTGATTTGAATAGTGATTCCTGTATTAAACATTTTATTGGTACTCTAATGCATGGCTAATTGTGCTTTATTTTATTAGAATTTATTTTTCAATTTGTCTCTAGGCCATTATTGCATTGTTATTTTATTTCACCCTTTTCACTTAAAACTGTTATTTTTGGAATTGTCGTAAGTTTGGCACAATTATCTTTGACATTCTAATTTTTTTATTTCTAAAATGTTTTTGCTCTAAACTTCGAAATTAAATTTCTCTCTTCCATTTTGGTGGCATATAATGCTGATGTTTCCATGTTACAGGACGCCAAAATCTGTACTTGAAGTAGCGAAGAAAATGTTGGCTGAATTTAGTTGGAACCCTTCTGCTGCTACTGTGGAAATGGAAGCGGGATGGTTTCTCTTGGCTTCACTTGTTGCTTCTATGCCAAAAGTAGTGCCCTTCATATTTTTTAGATGCTCATCTTCACATACTTGCAAATTGTAACTTCTGTTAAGATTTAATCTTGTTCTCGAATGATATACAGGAACTTGAAGACCAAGTTTTTGATGTTCTTTTGCTATGGGCCGACCCTTTTGTTGGAGGATCTGACAGCCGATCCAGAAGATCACAGGATTTAATGTCTGATTTACGGTGAGCTGGGCTCTTGTACACCCTGCTCTTTTTCCTGTTTTTTTGATAATTAACGTCGTATTGGTTTTATGACATGCTGTTGTGAGTCATATAATTAGTCATCATTGTTGGTCTGTTTTGGTATCTTGTAGGCTCTGCCATAGAAAACTCTCTTCTTTTTCATTACTAGTGTTGCATGCTAGAAAATTTGCGGTGATACAGTGAGAAATTAACGTGTTAGTATCACACAAAAATTTAGCTCACAAGCACACACAAACTAACCAGAAGTTGGAAGAGGAGACACTAGAGTTATTATATGAAAAATCCGAAAGCGGAAAAATCACGAGGCCTAGCCCAATTAAAATGATTTTCACTATGTAAATGTAAGTTATAAACATTGCCCGTCCCTTGTGTAGGAGATGTCAATAAGACATGAGTGGGGGTTATCAGCTTACTTTTTGTTAGAGCGACCTAAAATTTTGGAGAATTAGTAGCGATCTGGTTACAGTGGTAGAGGACCGACGGTGGGGGCTTCATGATGATGATTTGATAACAATGTCGCTCATTCTGATCCGATGATGACGATCACAACTTGGCAAATAATGTACAACAGTGATGATGATTATGTGATGGTGGTCCAATGATAATGGTCGTGCTCGGCTAATGATATTGCGACAATGGCCGCGACGACAATGAGACAGCGACCTGGTGACAATGGTGGCGACTAGGTGAGGGTGGCTGACAATGATGGCTTGTGATGGTGGCCTAGCGTGTGCTTGTGGGGTGACCAAACAACAAAGTTTTGATAATGGCGACGAGCAGTTGACAATGGTTCGGTGATTGTAGCAATTTACATTTGACAATGGAAAATTCTACAATGGTTCGATGGCGGCCGCAGTGATTAGGTGATGTTGGCATGAATCGGGTAGTTGCAACAAGATGCCGACGGTGATTTAGATAGAGAGGCTACAATCTAAAGACAATTATCATGCTGTAGTGGCGACCGTGTGATGGTGGTCTGAAGGTGGCTCTTCGACAATTGCTACAACGAAGGTGTCCGAACAACAATTGTCTAACAGTGGTGGCCGGGCAATGTTGGTCTGATTGTTCGGTGGCTATCGCGGCGGTTTGGTAAATGTGGTTCAACGATAGTGGAGTTTGAAAATCCTTAAGAACTTGGAGCTCCCTTGAGACTTTTCTTCAATTATAGTGATGATCGAGAACCCTCAAGAGCTTGACGCTTTTCTTCAATGTTTAGGTTCCTCCCCGTCATAAAGAGAATGAAGGTTTATATTTAGATTTTAGTAGTGTCATTTTTCATAAATAATGCTTGAATTCATACGTATCTATTGGATGACCCAGAGTGATACTCATTGCATGATTTTTTTTTTTTTTGAGTATTTGAACGCCTTAATGATGTAAGAAATAAGTTATGTTGGGCTCAGTAGATTCATCTCATTGAGATGCTCGATTATACTATAAGCTTACTAGATTTGAAGATCATTCGATCTTTCAAATTGATGCTGTGAAGTTTTTGTGTGTAACAGGAAAGCTTTTTCTTTTCTTATTCACAATTGAAAACATATTTTACATATTTATATACTCCCAAATCTCTAGATTAGGAATAACTCTAACCTAGAAAAGTTCATGTAATTAAATTTTCTCTTATTAGGTTGCCTAATATCAATTTTCTAAATAAAAAAAAGCTTTTTAGCATACAAGGTTCAGGTTTATTTTTTTTTCATAACACTAACTATCCTCCAACTGCTCGAACTAGGCTCATACGTTCTCAAATTGGACCTCTTATTTTATTTAGTTCATCTCACTGAAACATCCAATTTAATTATAAATTTGTTAAATCTGAATGTATGTGATCCTTACTTTGATGTTTAAAGCTTCCAGTCCAAAGATGCATTGAGATTCATGCTTGATCTGGAGGATCTTTTTTGGTTATGTTAAATTTGAACATTTTATTAAACTGCTGTTTCTTGGTTATGGATCAGTATTTTGCGAGCTTTTTTGGATGGATTGGCTATATTGTAGCTTCTTTTATATTACATTTGAAAAATAATTAAACATGGGCTCGTGTTCCTTCATTTAATTTTATTATGACTGAGTTTTATCAAATTGTTCCTGGTTAGATTCAACGGTTATTGATGTTGAAATTTTTAAACAAGAATTTTTTTAAGCTCTCTTTAAGTGATGTGAAAGCACCATTTAAATTTCACAGTTTTTATTGTCTTCATATTTTTTCTTTCTTTTCCCAGTCTAGTTTCCCTTATTCATATTGATTTTTTTCTCGTCTGACATGGTCAATATCTATTAATTTGATTACTATGTTTATTTGCTTTGTTATATAATTTTGTTTTATTTCTTTGCTTCTTTTTTCTTGGCTACTTATGCTGTTCCTTATCTTAGATTTTTTTATTTTTTGATTTCTCAGGGTTTTGTCAGCAGCAATTGAGGCACTTGATGCATTTATCAAAAGTTTTGTTTCTCCAACTACAACATCTTTTAGTGATGGGATTTTACTTCAACCTGTGTTAGCATATCTTGGAGGGTATTTCATCTGTTGCGAAATGCAAAATTTGTTTTGCATATCAGTTTTTCTTTGCTAATTTTTTTAGGCAAATGACTTTCATAGATGCTAATTTTTTTTTAAATTATGATAAGCAGAGCTCTGTACCACCTATCATTTTTAACAGCCAAGCATTTACCAAATTTGAGGCCTGCAATAGACCTATTCACCATCAGAATACTAATGACTTATCAATCTGTTTCTGATCCAATGTCATATAAAAGTGAGCATCCTCAGATTTTACAGATATGCTCGACTCCATTCAGGTAGAGTTTTAATATAGTCTTTTAATGCTGATATTATATATTATGTAAAAAGGGTTGCTTATATACATACCACCCAATTCTTATGTATTTATATATCTAACACCAAAACTTTATTTTTTACATCTGTACCGTGGGCTCTGAAAATTCCAACCACCCCAATTTTTGTTTGTGTTATTGAGAGAGTTTTGAGGGTTAAATTTTCAGAAGTCAGATGGAAAAGTAGATAAGATGCTACATAGAGATTTCACTCTCATTTTGCGAGGACTATTTGATCTGAGTTGTAATAACCTAAAAAAATAATAATAGCGATTAATTGAATAGGCACGAAGGATAAGCATGCCTTGGGTTATTGGCTTAAGAGTCATATTACTCATTCGAATCGGTTTAAAGAATAAGCAAGAGACAACAGGGGAGATCGAGAAGAGAAATTGTTGTGCCCTAGTCGAGGAAGGAAGAAGTTGGAGGGGAATCGTGCGGTCTTTGTGCAGTATGGAGCCATGCAAAGGAGAAGAATATGCGGTATTGTGTTGAGACCAAAGGCAGAGGAAGGAGAGGGTGGTGGCGACATCAGTGGACTACCTGTGCCGAGCCGCAATCGAGGAGGAGGAAGCTATGACTTCTTATACTGGTGCTGTGTGAAGGAGAAGAAATTGAAGGAGACCGCAGGTGCTATTTGTGTCTAAGCTGACGATCATTGCGTCCGGCTTTTACAGAGGAAGGAGATTCTGCGTATGGTCTGTGGGAAGGTGTCGAGGCCGAAAGAGAGGAGGAAGAAGGGAAGGATTTGAGAACTCTTTTGTGCGTGTTAGGGTTATAAGTCCCGGAAGGGAGCCGTTTTTATGGAATCGAAGCTTTAGGTAAGTATTTGATGCTTTTAAGTTTTACATTTATAAATTTATGTAATTAAATAGATCATAATATTCAGAATTAAAATTTATGAGTTTAAATCGGACATTATTAGTGGATAATTGCTTGAGATGGACAATTGAGTTGAACAATTATTTATAAGTTGAGTTTTGGTTGTATTAATTATTTGGATGCAAAATATCAGTTTACTTGCTAAATGTTGATAACAAGTTTAATTTAATCAGATATAATGGTAGAAGATTAAAGGTGAATCAATTAGAGTTGTAAGAGGAAAGAGTAGACTAGTGCAAGAAAGCAAACCAATTCTTTTTAATGGTATAATTATTTATTTGTGTTATTTTTGTTATATGTCATTAGTTATATTTAATTGTTTTTTTTAGAATATAATTCTGATAATTATATGCACATTTAACTAATAGGTAATAACCAAGAAGTGAAGTGATAAATTAAGCATTGACAACAATCCTTTAAGGCTGAGGTGAGTGATTATTTTATTTTAGGCATTAAATTTATGTTTTATTAAATGATTAAAAATAAGTATTTCATTAATGTCTGACATTCTGAAAGTCTCATATGTTATCAATTGGAAGGAAATTATTGACATGTGAAAGTACATTTTAAATGATTTTAATTGATATGAAAGGTTAAGTAAATGATTAAGTCATATAGGATTACCCTCAGATGAAACTGACAGGGGATTCAATATATCAGTGCATGTTAAAAGGAAATGACAAATGTGTACCTTCAGGTACAATTTGAGGGTACCTTCGAGTACAATTTTGAGTGTATTCGAACACATTTTAAGGATGCCTTCAGATATGATGATAGTCCTATGATAATTATTGAAGATGTTAAAATAGTAAATACTTAAACTGAAACTAGAAGAAATAAATTTGAAATGAAAGTTCAAGTTCTTATAAAGTAATAGGCTGCATTTTTTTTTGGTTATTCATGCAAAGCATAAACATCATAGTTTAGTATATATTAGATTATAATTACTTACTAAGTCTAAATTACATTTGCAGTTAATATTTTCTTTTAGGAAAAGAAAAAATTTAGATTGATATTTTTAGTATAAGAGATTTGGTTTACAGGAGGACTGCAACTGATAGATACTATTTTGTGATGTGATTTTAGCTTTCTTTTGTTTACTTCTATGTAGAGATAATTTATATGTTGATTTGAGATTGTTGTCTGCAGATGATGTCGTTTATGGATGCTTAAATTTTATTGCACTTTTTGGATTAGTGACTCTTTTACGTTTATTGAAAGTTTTTGAAACCCTGTGAAAAGTAAAATGAAATGTTAATATCGTCTGACTGTAGTTTCTTCTTTAGTTAATTCTAAGCTTCAGACTGGGTCGTGACATCGGGTATGAGGTTTCCCATATGTGCAAGCCTCTATGGTTAGTTACCCTCTTGATAAAGGGAGAACACTTTCGGTTAAGGTTAGTCATTTAACGCTGTATAATAAACATATAATACCAAGGAACATATGTTTTAGATGGTAAAATCTATTATTTGGAGCTTAAAGTTGGTAGTGTGAGAAATGATGTCGTGCCCTATTAAGATCACATGTTTTCTTCATCCCGGATCATCGTGGTCCTTGATCTACTTAATCAGCCGAGTTAGTTGACCCAACTCGATTGAAAGATTATCATCAACAACCATCGATTGTGTCGTATAAGGATCCTTGTAGATTTAGGGTGGATGTTTGTCCAAGGGATCCAGTTGTTGTTGTTCTTTTCTTGCTTTAGTCACACCTTTATCTTGAGGGATATGCACAAATGGGGACGGAATGAAGCTTTGAAGATCTCTATATGTCACGATCTTGTCATGTGCTACAAAATAGACAGAGGGCTTTAGTTGCGTGTAGGTTACGAACAATGGAGAAGAACGGTGGGCACCCGAGGAGTTTCGAAGTGTGAAGTGCAAGAAGAACTAAATTGACCCAGGGGATTGTTGGCCTCTAAAATAAATAAAAGAAAGTAAGAAAGAGAAACAAAAAAAAAAGAAATCAAATAACATTAAAATTTCTATTTGCTCCCGTTTAGTTCACCAAATAATCGGCCCCACTTTTTTTATCTCTGTAAATATCAAATTCGAAGCTCGAGGGAATCAGTTGCAAAAGAAACAACTTACAATTCAGGCACGTCTCCACTTTTATCTTTCCTCGCTCCAGCCGAAGCCCAAGTGCTACTTTCTCTTGGTCACAACTTTCCTAGTGCTGTTCGTTTGCTCCCACTCGCATAACAATTACTGTTAGTGCTAGATGTAGAAGACCAACACGAGATCATTATGTACGAATACTGCTTTTTTTCCTCCTATGCCATTTCCATCATGATATAGTCGTGATGATTGCTCTTAAGAAAGCCACGACTTGATTACTGCTTGCTGAAACCATTGAAACTCCTTCCTCTTACCTGCGACTGTTCTTGCTGGCCTGGTTCACATGATACAATCGTGATTATGATTTGCTAGAAAACACTATGGAATTGGGACACACAACGAACTTCGAATCCCTTGTCCTTATTTTCTCGTAGGCTCATCGAAGCCTCTCCCCTTCATGCTACAGGCATGAAAAGAATCAGTGGGGAAGAAACAACTGGAACGTGACCTTCAAAACTCGCATTTTTTGCCTGATCTGTTTTAGGCATAACTAGAAGCCTATTTGGCTTAGCCAACGCTTGATCCTCCTTATGATAAAATCTTGTCGTCTTCTTCCATCTGTTCGCAAATCACCCTCTGCCATATCACACTTCCAAGCTTTTCTTTTGTATTGCCCTATTACGCATCCAAGCTTTTCTTATGTATTGCCCCTCTGTTTTGTACATAAGATCGCACGAGGCCTTTCTATTCGAGCACGAGTCGAATTCTCCTGCCCTTGCTAAACCGAGGCATCATTCCCATTTTACTTTTTTTTGGCATTATTGTGTGCTGTATTAAAAAAAGAAAAAAACCCAGAAAACAAAAGACCTCTATTTTATTTTGTTTTGTCTTGTCGTCGTCATTTATCATCACCGAAGCTCAAAAATGAATAAAAATGGGCATGGAGGAAAGACTTTTAAAATCTTCATTTGAGGAAGCGCGAGTACCCATACTTTGGTTGGGGGAAAACTACGAACTTGTTTGTTTGTTTTTTTTTTTTTTTGGTAAAATTAGGGGTTTTCAAAATTAGGGGTTTTCAAATATAAGTTATGGGAAATGCAAGTATCCGTCCTTGTGAATCAAATACTTTTTGGGAAAAGTTAAGTCTCATTCGGGAAATGCTGGATTGTGACTTAACTTTTTTTTGTCAGTATAATGAAGACTTGTTGCGTCTTTTATGACTGCAGGTTAAATGCATATTTTTGCCCTTCAACCGCAGTGTTTCACGACGCCGACCAACGAAACTTTTAAGACACTTGGGAAGACTGACATTCTTTCATGTGCCCCCCTGGCAGGGGTTGACGCCTCAAAATTTTGAGTGTTTAGACTTACATGTAACTGAACAATATGACCTTTGGGAATCGCAATTCATTAAAGTTAAACTTTAAGAGTTGCAAATAACTTGAAAGTGAAATATTTGAACTTGCAAAATGACTTGAACATGAAATATCATAAATTGTGAGGCTAAGCTTGTGAGCATGACAACAATATGAGATATGTTAAATTGGAGGGGATAAACTTAAATTGAATACTAAATTTTGCTAATTGGGGCCCGAACTTGACTTAAAATGGAAATATCTAAATGTGGGGGCTCAGTTTGACTTAAATGTTAAATATCGTAAATTGTGGCCAAGTTTGAGACATTAATATTTTTAAATATTAAAATAAAGAATTAATATTTCGCCAAATTTTTAAAAGGAGCATGTTTATTAATGGAATATGCGAGAGAAGCTTTTAAAAAAGAAATTTAGAAAAGAGCATATATGCCTCCCTTGGAGGAGTTTATGAAAAAAAAATTAATTTTTGAAGAAATGCCCTCCTTGGGGGTGTTTTTTGAAAATTTAATCTATTTGATATGTAATATATTTTATTATAAATAATATAAATTTTAATATATATTAGGTGTTATTATAAATAAAGTTGTTAGTATTCTTTACATTTATGAAAATATTAAATTTGTTAATTTTGATTTTAAATAATATTCAA